GGGGTATAGTCACCAAATGCTGTAAGCTTTGATTACATAACCAGTTTAAGTCATGGTTTATTCTGTCACTGGAACTTATCTGTCTGATAAAGCTCCAACATACTGACACTGTGTGAAAGTCCAGCAGCAGTGAAGATCCTGCACCCTGATTGTCTCTGTTTGCTGGGAGACATGGAGGTGGACACGAGGACCATCCTTGTGTTTGTTCTGTGAACACACTGAGCGTTCTGTTTGAGAGAGAGGTGCTGAGCGGCGTGCCAAGCCTCTAATTACCTCTCGCATGATTACCTGATTTAGCTGTTGAGTGACAGCATGTCAGATGTGGTCCCAGCAGGGTGAAAGTCTGCTCCGGCGGGATACAGATTATGCCGTGTTACCCAGCTGGCCCACAGTGTTCAAGCAGCTAAACTAGTCTGAGGAGGCGCAGTAAACAGATATCTACAGTGAGATCTGCTCCACCAGGCCAGACCACTGAATTATTAACAAGCGTTGAGCCATTTGTTTTCATGGTGGCCAGCAGAGGGATGGTAAAACAAATGGACTGATCACTCCTTAAAACTTTGGTAAACAGTATTCTTTGTTCTGCTTTTCGTTTACTTGCTGAACCCAGCCTCCCCACGGGGCGAGAGCACATTTGCTTACTGGATCTGAAGCCTTGTGCCTCCAGCCGACCTGCATGAAGACTCACAGCCAAACCCTGTCAGCACCGCTCAGCTTCTCACTTTGTTGGCAAAAAACTGTGGGCAAACTGGAACGCCTGGTTTTTACTGATGCAAGCATGATCTGCGACGAGAAGCAGGAGGCTTTTTAAGTTCACCCGCATTCCCTTTTTTTTTTTTGCCTCTTGTTGTCGTGGTGGTTTCACAATCTGCAAAGCAGAAATTTGACTTATCTGAGCTGCCACTTTGAATAGTTCACCTCTGAAGTTGCAAAAAAAAGTTATCAGACTCTCGGTTGTTTCCTTTTGCCTTGACATTTAAAACTCCAGCTTGCATGTGTATGTGTGTGTGTGTGTTTGTGTGTGTGTGTGTTTGTGTGTGTGTGTGTGTTTGGGTGTGTGTGATCATGGAAAACAAGTTGGTAAAACTTGTGCTGTCACTGCTAGGCTATTTGGCATCGAACAATCACCCTGAAACACTTCCAGAGCTGCAGGAACAGAAAGAGCTCCTTTCTTTCCCCGCTGTGCCTTTGGCCAGAGGGAGACCTGCTCTTTGCACGCACGCACACACACACACACACACACACACACACACACACACACACACACACACAACATAAGAGCCAGCTGTCAAAATAACAACATGCTGAGTCAGCGGTGGTCTC